TTTTTTTTGGTCTTTTTGAGACAGGGTCTCCCTGTAGCCCCAGTTGTCCTGGAACTCACTGTGTGGACCAGGCTGGCCTTGAACTCACAGAGATCTGCCTGCCTCTGCCTCCCGAGTGCTGGGATTAAAGGCATGCACCACCAAGCCCAGCTTAAAAAATATTTTTTAAAAAGGTAAAGGTATATTTTGGGGCTGGAGAGATGGCTCAGTGGTTAAGAGCCCTGACTGGTCTTGGCAGAGAACCCGGGTTCGATTCCCAGCACCCACACGGTGGCTACAAACCATCCTTAACTCCAGTTCCAGGGGAATCTGAAGCCCTCCTCTGACCTCCTCGGCATTGCACGACACGGGTGCATTCACATACAAGCAGGCAACACACTCATACACATAAAAATATTTTTATGTATGTAAAGTAGGTGTTTGAGGATGCCCTGGAGCTGGAGTTACAAGCAGTGGTGAGCTGCTGGATGTGGAGCTGAACTTGTGTCCTTTACAAGAACAGCAAGCACTCTGAACTGCTGAGCCGGCTCTCCAGCTCCATTGTCTATTTTTAAATGAACTAAAATATTGTGGAAGCTTCAATGTACATTGCTGTATTTTTCATTTGTCTAATTTTGATTTTTTTAAAATATTTTTATTTTATGTGTATGCTTGTATTGCCTGCATGTAGGTAAGTGCACCTGTGTCGTGCAGTGCCAGCAGAGGACAGGAGGCTGTTGGATCCCCTGGGACTGGAGTTACAGACAGTTGTTAGCTGCCATGTGGGTGCTGAGATTTGAACCCGAGTCTTCTGCAAGAACAGTCAGTGTTCTTAACCGCTGAGCCATCTCTCCAGCCCCTAATTTTGATTTTTTTAAACATGTCAGATGTGTGTTTTGGGGAGGGCACGTTTGTACCATGACATTATATGTGGAGATCAGATGACAACCTTAGGAAGTCAATTTTCTTTCTACCATGTGGGGCCTGGAGATCAAACTCAGATGGTAAATGTGGTGGCAAGTATACTTAACCCACTGAGCCATTTCACTGGCCCTGTTTTTGCTTTTTTGAGACATAGTCTCCCTAGGTAACCTAGCACAGCCTAGAACTCATGACCCTCCTGTCTTAGCCTCTCAGGTGCATTCCTGTTTACTTAAAAAGTGACACTGGGTTCTGGAGAGATGGCTTAGTGGTTAAGAGCACTTGCTGCTCTTACAGAGGACCCAAGTTCAATTCCCAACACCCACATAGGGATCTAATACCCTCTTTTGGCTTCTAGGGTACCTGCAGTCATGTGTACATACCCATACACAGATGTACGTAGATACACATAATTAAAGAATGACAATCTTTTTTAAAAAATAAAAGTGACATTGGCTGGACCTGGTGACCTACTTCTGTAATCCCAACAGAAGTGGAAACAAGAAGACCAGGAGCTCAAGGTGAACGCAGCTCTGCACTGAGTTTGAAGTCAACCTGGGGCCACTTCAGTATGTGAAACCCTGTATCAAAAGAGAAGGTGAATGTAAAGTTTTTTGTTTTTGTTTTTTAAGTGTATGTGTGTATTGCCTGCATGCAGGTAAGTGCACCCGTGTCGTGCAATGCCCGCAAAGGTCAGAAGAGACTGTTGGATCCCCTGGGACTGGAGTTATGGACAGATGTCAGCTGCCATGTGGGTGCTGGGATTAGAACCTGGGTCTTCTGCAAGAACAACCAGTGTTCTTAATGGCTGCGCCATCTCTCCAGCCCCAAATGTAAAGTTATTAACCCTGAAGGACTTCACAGACAAGCAAGAGAATTCAATGTTTATCCATGTTCGAGTTCAGTGTGCACAAATCTGCTCTTTGGTTTCCAGATAGGAAGCTAAGCACTCCTACTGGCACCTTGTCAAAGCAGGACTCTTAGCCAGGTGTGGTACACACCTGCCATCCCAGCACTCAGCACTCAGGGAGGCTGAGGGAGAAAGCCATCCAACTGGGTTACATAATGAGACTCTCAGAAAACAAAAATACCTCTCCAAAGAACATCAAGGAAAAAAACAACACTTGAAACAAGAGGCAAAAAGGACACTGCACAGGACAGCTGGGAAGATGACAAGGTGGCACTTCACCAAGGCCTTCACTGTGTCTGTACTCTGACCTAGCGTGTAGCAAATTCCAGAACTTTCTGCAGAGGAAGCAATCAAGGCAGACAAAGGAGCATACACAAGGCATTGACCAGAAGCACATTTGTTACAGCAAATAGGTGTCCAGTAATACCAGAGTGTGGAAGGAAACATGCCAAGCACACTCAGGTCACCAGGGCTCAGGAGGTCGTATCAGGAGGATCAGTTCAAGGTCATCATCAGCTACATAGGTCTACCTGAGACCCTGCTTTACAAACAAAAAAACAGGTCAAATTCACCATTAAGGGAAGGCAGTGGGCTGGAAGGTGCCCCCAAGGGGTTTGGTGGGAGCTGCAGCAGCACCCTGCTCCTCACAGTGGTGGTCTTGGGGTGCATGTGCATGCAGATCTTCCTGTTATAAACTGCTGTGAATCAGATGTGGAGGCAGAGAATGAACTCCTTCAAGGTGTCCTGACTTCCATACACATGCCATGGCTGGCACACACCTGCACAATAAATAAATGCAACAAAACAATGTTTTATCTGAAAAAAACTCTTATTTTTTAAAAATACAGTATTAGGGTTGGAGAGATGGCTCAGCAGTTAAGAGCACTGGCTATTCTTGCAGAGGACCTGAGTTTGGTTCCCAGCACCCACATGGCGGCTAACAGTTAACTCCAGCTCCAGGGGTTCTGACCCCCTCTTTTGGCCTCCACAGGCATTACATGCATGTGGTGCACCTATATACATGTGTAAGAAACACCAAGTATTAGTCTTCTCTTTCAAACACTACAAACATTTACAAGGAATTCTAATTACCCCCTCCCCACCCTACAAAACTTGATTTATGACAAGGAATTCCAATTTTCTGATCACCCTAACACACACCCTATAAAACTTGGTAAGAAAGAGAAAGCCCTAGTACATTCCAGGAATTGGGGGGGCTGAGCCCTTCCCCC